TACAAGGAATCGTAATATTGCTCTGCTCCTCCACTGTCATTCAATGTTGCATTTAACTTTTTGTGTAGTTAAATGAGTGGTGTAAATTATGGTGCAACTTTTCCGGTGAAATAAAAGTAGGGGAAAGAATTAAAACTGCGTCATTTTCACCTCCGCAGCTCTGCAGCTATGCGTGTGTCTCTGTGTCACTCACATATCCTGTCTCTTTTAGCTGAAAATGTGTTTGTGGTTTTGAGTGTGTTAGCTGTACATGTTGAGCTTACTGCAAGATGATTATCTAGTTTGCGTGTGTACATTTGTGTCTACAGGAGCTCTACTTTAAGCTTTATAACAGTTTTTAACACATTTTTGATATTAAGAAGTGATTTTAATACATGTATGTATTGAAATGTATAAAACTAATGCATGCCATTTCCACTTGAAGGCTTAGTGTAAGTCCCCAATAATTTTATACAAGAATTAGATTTGTTAGGTTTGCAGATGATACACATTTATTTTGTTGCATTCACAACTTCCAAAGAGTTGATTTGAACAAACTGTTAATTGAGTTCATAATTAAATTCATAATCATAAAGCCTACTTATGATAATAAAGATAAATTGAAAGTCACCTTTTGTTAGTGATCATTTTAACAATTACCTTGCTGGGAACCACATATGATGTGATACACAGGAGGTTTTCTGGTACTTGCAGCTTTATGGGGAATTGGAAATTTACAATCTGTACTACCATGAGAGTAAAGGGTAAATGGGGGTGAGAGATTTGTCTTAATCTTATTCAAATTACACAGATTCTGTCATTGCTCAACTATACATTTCCCATTTTGGCTAGCTTGCCTACTCTTTACATGTATTTAGTAAACTCATTCATTGCTTAATGCTCTCTTTATTAGCCTTATTTGATGTTCAATTGTAAATCTATTATGAGCAGACATGGCACTCCATATTTATTGTATTTTTGTATTATGATTATTATATATTATTCTGTATTACTGTCTGACGTGTAACAAAAAGCCAACGATTCTTATAGTCAGGTGATTATACACTGATGAAAACATACCTATGAAGATTATATTCTATTTCTGCCAAAAGATCCTCCTAAATGTTACACACTGGATGTTTAAGAAAGCAAAATTCCCGTGCCAAGTTTTTTTTTTACAGAGGAGCGACAGAAAGCATCCGGACTGGAAACATCACAAACTGGCACTGGTCCAGGCCCAGGATAGGAGGACTCTACAGCAGGTAATCAAAACTGCACAGAAGATGATTGGGATGCATTTACCGAACAGTTTCTTCCCAAACCTTTTTACTTTTGTCCCCTCACAAAAAACAACTAACCAGTTTTTCACAAGGAGTTATTAGAAACAAACTGAAATATATTTTCTTGTGAATCATCTCATAATCCCTGTGATTTATCTGTTGGCATGGTACACCAACACAGCAGCAGAAAACAACACAAGCTTAAAATATACAGAATGCAATCACAATGTGGTACATACAATGCATACAATTATCACCTCAAGTGCTAATATTAGAGAGCACTTGTTTTGTACTTGTATATTTTTTATTTTATTCAAAGTGGCTTTAGACATCCTTTTTGTTGTTTCGTATCGAGTTTCAGGGTTTTATTTATTCTGTTCTATTTTTGATATTTACTGACCTAATAGAATGCAATGTGGGGAGAAAAATAGTACAAATCTCAAATTATTGTATTGATACATTTTGACCACTAGATTGTGCTGTAGCTTCATGTCCACAGGGCCAGTCAGTTGTGAAATCACAGCAGCCCTGTACTGGGTTGTATGCCAAAATAATTACATTTAAAGTAGCTTCTGCTAAACTGCGTGTTTATTTGTGATTTTTTATTTTTCTTATTAGTATTATATTATATTATAGTATTATATCTATAGGTTAAAACAATTCACCAGGGCAGCTCACCTGGTAGAGCTGGTGATCCATGTACTAAAGGCTGAGTCCTTGCTGCAGCAGCCATGGGTTTGAGTAAAATAAATCCAACAAGATTCTCCTCATCCCCTTTTAATATTTCAGTTTAGTTTTGAAGTTTTATGCACTAATTGTAATTGTAGTTTCCTAAAGCTTCTTTCTCTGCAGCCAGCAGATGACGCCATCGGCCCACGGTTTTTGCAATAGGTCTGTAAATTGACATTTGGCAGTGGAAAAGTCACAGCGGATTATATGTAGAGTTGAATCTAACATTTTAATCTTAATCATTATTAATCATCATCATTCAAACCTTACTTTATACCGTCTTCCCTCTCACTAACATTACCTTCCAATGAACACTAATGCATAAAGGACACCAATTAATGAGTCATTCTGGATACATGACAGATTTTTTTATTTACTAAGCGAGTGTATGATTAATAGAAATAATTCCACTGATTTTGTGATAAATAACTGTTTCTACTGTTGTTTCCTGCATTTTAAAGCCATTCCTACTACTGTTACTACAACAACTACAAGCATTACTGCTACTACTAGTGCTCGTACTAAAAACAATCCATCCTGATTCCAAAGGTTTTGATGGCCTGCTTTGTTGGATTTAGATTTTAGACAGTTGAGTTTACAGTTTCCTGACATTATTACATCATTGTTCGCCTGCAGCTCTGCCTTTTTTCGATACTGCAGCGCTTTCTTACAGTGAACAAGTCTCAAGTGGAGACATGGTTTAAAGTTAGGTCTGCATTATCGTCTACAGTGCATCATATCTGAGGTGGCTGACAGTGACTGCTTTGGAATAAAAGGCTGTTAGTCCATTAAAACCAGATCCAGTGCCAAGAATCCACAACCTGGTAAATGACTGATAGGGCAGTAAGGCAGTAGGATAAGACTGTGTCCAGTGTGTGTCTGGTGTGGTGTGTCAGTTTGAACAGATGTTGTGTGAGATACATGATTGCTACCGTGTTGAGGACCACATACAGTATATTTAGTAGTAGGGCGACACTATACCTGGCTTGATGTTCCTCCATGCACATCACACAGCCACAACACAGGACACACAACAACACCACCACACACACACATTTTAAAAATAGCATCCTCACATGTATCGGCCATGCAGTTACAACCTTTGACCCCGAGGTTACAAACCCAAACTTGTCACCTGCTCTGACTGAGCGGTGAACTTTGCCCCGCTCACTGGCTCTGTGTAAATACACAGCATGGGCCTGGGCACAGGACTGGAACTGACACCAGGCATGTGTCACCCTGGGTAAAATGGCAGCCTGCAGGGAAAAAGAAAATATGGAATATGGTTTTATACCACTTAAAAAAGCTTAGTTTGTGAAAGGCAATACATATTGTCTTGTGGATTTACATTTTTTATACCATTTACTTCAAATATGTAGTTTCCCTAGAGCGTTTTTTCAGTGTAACCAGCTCACTCGTTGGATCATGTTGCTTATATAATTACAAAAAAAGTCTCTATTGTTATGGCCTTATGACATGAAAACTGTGTATTTTAAGTGTAAGCCCCCACCTCTCTCATCTCTTCCTCTATGGCTGCTTCTGCAGTATACTCCTCCTCCCCCCTTCACCTCTCGCTTTAGCACTCCTACTGGTGGGAGAGGTGGGAGTCATTTTCAACACTTATTATTAAAATACATCCTATTGATTCTGACACTTTACTCTATATGTTTTGTTACCTCCATAATCAGAATAGCTGTGTATTTTGACTTCCTCAATTTTGCAAATAAAGTCTTTACGCTTGCTTGAGTTTTTTTTTTTGCCTTTTTGGAAAAATAGTTAGTTTTCATTAGTGTGTAACACCTGAAAATGAGAATCATTTTTGTCTTGTTACCTAGTTTTTTATTGTTTTAGGTTCAACTGATGCTCTTATGATTGATTCAGGAAAATCTAAGTTTTGTGGGAAATGCTTTTTGTGATTAAGGCCATGCAGGACCATTCGCATAAAAAGCGCTTTAAATTTAATTTCGCTTTTTAAAGCTTCCCTGACGACATTTTGACCTGCGATAGTTCTATGGAGCTGTTTTTCCACGAGTGGGTTTGCATTTTTGTGACGCACGTGGGTGACACCATTCACAGTCCTACCACAGGTTTCACTATATATACGCACTGATCTACAGGTGGTGGCAACACGCCAGTGACTCAGGACAACACTGGTCACGATCCATAGAGTCCGCCATGTTGAGTCACCATGTGTCTACAGCAGCCCAGAATGGACTAAACACTGTCTCTAGACCGGGGCATTTGCGTTTTTCCTTTGCGTTTAGAAAAAGAGGGTGAAGCGAGAGAACTGCAATCTGAAGCATTTTCTTTCCACCATCCTCTTTCCCCTGAATAGTGCCATCTCTAACAGATTAGCTGTGTGAGGTTAGATGGTAGAGAGTGAAATCAGCAGCTAGAATCCCAAAGCAGACCGCAGTAACAAAATGTTACGACTATAACTTCTAAAGTGGCATTAGTGCATGGACGAGGGGCTATAGTGGTGGGTGTACATGAATAAAATATGAAATGAAAATGAGTTCAACCGACTAGTATTTCTGGTGTCGACTAGCGAGATTAGTAACCGACTAGTCGACTCATCGCGAACACCCCTAGTTTGTACCAACATTTTTCAACAGCGCCCTCTAGGGAGCGAAATCTAATGGATGTGACAACCAACCCCGCTCTCCCCTACTACTCAGTCAAAGGCAGTGGAGATTATAAAGTTTTTTTTTAAAAAGAGGGCGAAGAGGGTTCAAATAGTAAAAGACTAAAGCAATTAGAGATGTCTGGAGGTGCAGCAGTAATTTAAACTATGAAGGAGGAATCCATCATATCAGAGGCTGGACCACACAGACTGGACAATATCTGATATGTAATAAAGACTAATATCTGCTCCATAAACCCTGAGTCAGTGGGAGAATGATATGGGAATCTCTCTCTCTCTCTCTCCACCTGGGACCTCCCTGCTTCCCTGCACTCCTCCTCCAGACCGACACCTAACTTCCGGCCACTCTCTCTCTTTTCTCAATCAGCCTCTCTATCAATCTCGCCCTCATTCCCACACACACACACACACACCAAACCGGGTTCAGTGTCAGTGTGTGAACCGTGTAAACCCTCCCGTCTGGATTTGGACTTCGTTTTACTGGATTAGAAAGCACGGTGTGCATCCGTTTTGCTTTGCGGCTCCGCCCGGTGTGCGGCGCGGACTGACTGCTCACATCTGAGAGTTTTATTGACCGACAGCGGCGGGAGAGGACTGGTGTTACCCCACACAGGACAAAGAAAACGGGGGGGACATTGAGGAAAAAGCATAAGAGTGGAAAAAGAGAGGGATGAAAATGAAGAACTGTCTCCTCAGACTCGTCTTTTCTCTTTTAATGCTCGGTAAGAAACGTTTCTTTGCTTGACTGTTGATAGCTAATTAACTCCGATGTATGGAGAACCCAAACCCAAACCTTGTTCAGAAATCTGTCAATTGAATGTTTACTTGCTTGTCTGCAAAAGTACATGCCTTGTAAAAGATCACTTTAACCATTTTCCGTATTTTTAACATCCACTAACTTGTCCGGCATATATTCAATCCATCTTCCAGCACTTAATTGCAATTAATTTTTAAAAAATTCAGCTGGTTTACACAGCTAGCTGCTGCCACCCGCTGTGTATTTTTTCATGGAAGAAGTTCGGGAGTGCAACAAGCTAACATATTCAAAAAGTAAAAATTTAGTAAAAAAGAAGTGTCGCTTGGTGAGTTAGATAATGCCGAATTGAAGAGTGGGTCCAAGACATTGGAAAGAATGAATAAACTACGTTCTCAGAGATATCTGCCTGCGACGACGAACAAAAATGGCAAAACACCGTGTTGTTAAACGGAGTCTGGCATTTAAGAACTGCACCTATCAGCTAGGTTTCTCTTGAGATTTACCCCTTAAATGAACAGTCTCACTGTGTAGAAACTGCTGTACAAAATTCATCTCGAGAAAATTCTCCCCTTCTTTTTACTGTGTTTTAATCTCAGTCAGCCTCTCATTAACCAAGAACTGTACTTCCATTAAGACCAATTTGCCAGCATGAGGTGACCAGTTCTGACAAGGTCCCATTAGCTCGCATAGAAGTCAAACCAGGGTGGCCATCCTGATTAGCTTTATTATTATCCTTGTAGTCATGCCAGAGTCAAGCAGGCTGACTAATTATCAGACTGGTTTCAAGCACAGGGCCAGGCCAGTGCTTAGTCATTAGGCACAGGGACAAACCAGGACTTGTTCATTGGCCCACCTCAGGGCCAAACTAGCTGAACAGGGCTCTCCAGTACTGAAGTTGCCATATGTTTGAGAGCATAAAAGTGAATGTCATCGTGTGTGCGTGTGTGTGTGCGTTTGTGTGTGTGTGTGTGTGTGTAAGAGAGAGGGGGACTTGGCTTAAATTAGTGCAGTGTAAGATGATCAAATGTCGCCAGAGCTCCTGTGGTGTGTCGTTCTGTAGGTGTGTGTGTGTGGGACGGTGGCCATGGTATACAAATTGCTTGAACTAAACTGAAACACAGGTAACGCAGACAGGGTTACAGGGTTAGGGTTACGCTCCTGACAGCGCCCAATAACTCGTGGCATGAAATTTGCTGTGCACTGTCACACTCCCAAGAGGACGAAGTCTCCTTTAACGTGTCACCAGCAGACTTTCAGTTTCCTCTCCTGTAACAGGCTGTGGAGAATTTGCATTTTACTCTCAGGTTGCCCTCATGTTGCCATTACAGTCGACCACAGACATATCTGTTATGTTTTTGTTCCTCATATTGGTTGCAAATTAGTTTTAAAATTTCCCTACCCATATGGCTCTATTTGAATATTAGCTCGTACAATGTTATGGGCTCATTTTGTGAATATCTGTATGATTGTCCCTGTGTCCCTCGCTTGTAATGGGGAAGTATTTCTTCTTACGAACATGTTGTCCAAGGTAGAGCTGCAGCGATTAATCAGTTAGTTGCCAACTATGATGATAATCAATTCATTGTTTTGAGTCATTCTCGAAGAAGAAATGTAGAGATTCTTTGAGTTCAGCTTCTCGAATGTGAATATTTTCTGGTTTCTTTAGTCATCTAACATGCACTGTTTACTGTACATGCTCACTCCCACAAAAGGTTGAATCCACTGATTTCCTGTGGTCGTTCTCTCAGTGCCACCATCAAGGCAAATTGGTCTTGTGCCATCTGTCAGTAGAGAAATGGCTAACTTATCCTTGCACAGGTCTGCTATCTTGCTTTAGGACTAATATCAAATGGCGCCTGAGATCTTTTAATCAGACTGCTCATATTGAAATGCACCATGTGTCTGCGGCCACCAACACACACGCTAAAATGCCTATACAGTCAGCTGACACCCAGCATTAACCTGTACAGTTTGGGGCTTGGAACAGATGATGAGGAAAGAAAAGCACACTTAGTATTATAAACTTTTTAAAATGTGGTATTTATTAATGCATTCTGCTTCTATCATGTCCAAGTCTTACATCCCCAGATTTAGCCATTTATGCTTGAGAAATATTTCATAACCCTCGGGTCAGGCCTAGATAGATAGATAGATAGATAGATAGATAGATAGATTTATAAAGTCTATCTA